AGAATAGTCGAAATGCAATGTTATGCCCAATCACGAAACACAAAAACCACATTTCAAACAGCTTAAATTATTATTTATCTTATTTCAGTGACATTGTTTGCGATTGTCGTGAATTCAGGCACGTTTTCAACTTCGCTGTGTTGAGGGGCCTGATGCTAACCTCTGACCTTTTGCAAAATGGCAGCCACTGTATCGAATATGTGGCGTGTGGTACGATTCTCACGAAATGTCGCTTCTTTACATGCTAACATACGACGTCGCACAATCTCAAGAACATCCATCCAATCGGCCAGGTTCATAAGCACTGAAGAACGACAGCAGGAAAGCGATTTGGTCGTCAGTTATGTGGAGGCCGGTGAGGACACTGGAGAGGACTTGGGCCAAATTATTGTGCTTGCTATAAACAGACCGACGGTGAGAAACGCATTGGGCAAAAACATCGTCGGTTTGTTCATCGATGCGATAAACAGCGCTAAATTTGACAAACGAGTAAGAACTTTAATATTAAGGAGTGCTGTGCCCGGTATTTTCTGTGCCGGTGCTGATCTGAAGGAAAGAGTAAAGATGGCACCGAACGAAGTTGCTCCTTTTGTAGCAAAAGCGAGAGGCATCATGTCGGAGCTGGAAAACCTACCGATGCCTGTCATCGCTGCTCTCGACGGAGGAGCATACGGCGGTGGTCTTGAGATGGCTTTAGCGTGTGATATCCGAATAGCATCGACTACCGCCAAAATGGGCCTCACCGAAACAAAATTGGCGATCATTCCTGGGGCCGGTGGTACTCAGCGTCTACCACGAATTATCGGCAAAGGTCGGGCCAAAGAAATGATATTCACTGGGCGAGTGATTGACGGGGAACAAGCGGAGGGGATTGGACTAGTTAACTACGCCGTGAAACAAAATGAAGAAGGGACTGCTGCATACAAACGGGCTTTGGAAATGGCTAAAGAGATTTGCAGCAACGGGCCTATTGGTGTAAAGATGACCAAAGTGGCGATCAACAAAGGTTCCGAGGTTGATCTTCAATCAGGTCTAGCCATCGAGGAAATGTGCTATGCCCAAACTATTCCAACTAAAGACCGCCTCATTGCATTGAAAGCTTTTGCCGATAAGAAACGACCAATTTTTATCGGTGAATAAATTAATTGTGACATCACAAACTTTACCTTTAATAATAAATCACTATTTTCGTATTATATGTGTTTACTATTATCACCAAACATTTATAAATAAAAGTAGCAAAACAATAGTTTATGAGTCTTTTATTGATGAGAAACAGGGAGAGGAGAAATATGGGGCTGAGCACGTTAAAGGGCACATAAACCAATAATCCGCCTGTAATATTTGTATTGCATGCCTTTCAATCGATGTACCTGGAATGTACTTTATAAAGCATCCACTGATAACTGTTGGTTACAATGTAATGACATCAAGCTACCCTGAATAACGCTTAATTATAGATAACAAATGAACTTTTATTTTTATTTGTAATATACTGTCTATAACGCCTATGGTGCACGTGACATTGAGTGGTATAAATGATGTAATGTCCCTATAACTTTATTTCACGGTTTACTAAAAAAGAATAGTAACCATGTTTATTTGATCCTTCTTGTGTCTCGACTGATGCCGTTCGGCTGTTGAGGGCGCTACTACGCCTACATGTCGGGTTATCCAGACTAAAGACGCACACTGTACATTTAGTGTATATGAATCTTCGCAATTAAGCAGTCTGATTGGCCAAGAACTCTAGGCAGGTTTATAATTACATTAAAAAAAAATACTTAATATTGTCAGTTTGTATTACCCAATGTGCATATTACTCGTCGAATCCACATTTTTTGAGAAGTAATCCACGACGGACGCTGGTCACTCAATCGGCCACTCTCCACGCAAGATGGCGCTTCTTCATTAGCTTGCCTGCGCTGAGAACTCTGGGATGGAGAGTGGGACGCTGCATAGTCCAAAATAGCTTTATGCATGAATGCGAACATTTTGAAAGGAGGAGATGGGGTGATGAAAGCATTAGTGAAAAAGAAGATAACGCTAGATAGACTTAAAAAACGGCAGTCGTCGCGCCGCGTCCTGTTCGACGTATACAACGCGTGTAAAATACTTTGTTTATTTACATGAAATTCGGACACGCGCTGCGCGACGACCACCGCGCTTTATTATTTGAACAAACTTTGATGTGCCGCCAAAAGATATTCCAAATTCACCATTTCTGTCTGAAAAGGGGTATGTTATTTTACCCTGTCTGTCTGAAAAGGGGTATCCTTTTTCATTATTTCTGTCCAAAGACTGTCTCTTGAGCTTGAGTGGTCCAACAATCAGGAGAATGAAGCTGATTTTTTTTTGTTCTGTAACTTCATTTCGATCGTCAAAGTCCATCTCCGGGAGCATGAGCGGATTTAGAGGGGCCGAGGGGGCCGGGGCCCCCCTATTTTTAACAACCAACAGGGCTTCGCGCCATTGGCGCTCGCGAACTTGGCCTTCGGCCAACTTATCTGCCCCCCTATTCGAGAATCCTAGATCTGCCCCTGGGGAGTCCACTGGCACCTGCTTTTCCCTTGGTACCATTTATGTTTACTGTCTGGAAAGGGGTGTCAAATATTCACAGTTTGTCTGAAAAAGGGTAGGCAATTTGAGTTTATTTCTGTCTGATAAGGGGTAAGGGTTTCAAACAACCAGCTACACACCCGTCAGTATTTTTTGCAAGTACCCCCCTCCCGTGATAAAGTAATCCCCCCCCCCAATGCGCTTTTGAAAAATGCACTTCATGGTCGACATTGTGATACAACAATAAGTCAAGGTTATCTGCTCTGAAGCTCTGCATAAATTATATTTTTGTTTCTTTTTATACACGCTATCGTGAGGGCCCGGATTCGTCTTTTCACCGCAATACTACGGACAGTCAGTGTGTGGGCGCCAGTGCGTGTACACATTTGTACGAGGCTAAGGACACATACGACCTGCATGTGACCTGACCACCTGATAGCCCGACCTGACCGAGTTTTTCGAAATTTCAAAGTACGTTTTATGTAAGTTTTTACCACAAACCAAATTCAATTTTAGTTATATCAGTGTTAACTGTTTTGTAGCAAGATGTACGGTTTACGAACTTTGCTCCTTCCTGTGCGCAAACTATGTAGTAATTTGAGCAAAGCAACAGAACTTGTGGGAATTCAGCATTTGGAAGGGAAACACGCCGGCATTGCGGTCATCAGTATGTCTCGCCGGAAACACAAAAATGCCATTAACGATGAATTTGTTAACCTGCTCCAGGAAGTGCTTGATTCGGTTAAATTCAATGAAAAGTTACGTGCGTTGATTTTAAAAAGCAACGTACCTGGAACGTTCTGCGCAGGCGCAGACCTCAAATACCGAGCAACTTTGCCCGCCGAAGAAATCGCTTCTGCAAGTCAAAAAATAAAACGCGTGTCCACCGAGTTAAAAACATTTCCTGTGCCAGTTATTGCAGCCATTGACGGGCTCGCACTTGGAGGTGGATTGGAACTTGCACTCGGCTGCGATATGAGAGTGGCTGCAAAAGACGTTTCCCTGGGGCAACCAGAAACCACGCTGGCACTCATACCTGGGGCAGGTGGCACCCAGAACTTGCCGCGACTGATTGGCGAGGCAAAGGCGAAAGAAATGATATTCTGTGACCGCAGATTGTCTGGAGAAGAAGCAGAAAAGATCGGATTAGTGAACTATGCCGTAGATCAAAATGACAGTGGTGATGCAGCATATCAGAAATCACTCAGGATTGCAGAGCAAATTCTTTCAAAGGCACCGTTGGCTGTAAAGATGGCAAAAAAAGCCATTAATAATGGACTGAATGTTGACCTAAATACTGGTCTTGTAATTGAAACTGCATGCTATGCACAAATAATACCTACTGAAGACCGCCTTGAAGGCTTACGGGCATTTATTGAAAAGAGGACTCCTGAATATAAAGGAAAATGATAACAAAATATATCAAAAGGTATATTAGTATTTAAAACATACTAGCCCAGAGACTTGGCTGTGATACTTGGCATAGCTGCCCATAATCACCACCCAGTGAAACGAGCTGGATCTAGCACAGAAATCGGTGCGGGTATGTAAATGGCGAAATGGTATGAAGCTAATTGGACAACTGACACAAACAACATTACGTCAAAGCATCCCCACGTGATCCTGGTTTCGAGGAGTCTGAACATAAATATAATTTACATAATCGCACACATTTTGCACATGTGACGTAGTGAGTGTGGTTGAAAATAATAGCCAACCACAGGACCCGGTCAAAATTTGATGGATCACCCTGTCTTATCTCTTTACTGAGCGACGGCAGCTACTTCCACGACCACATTCTGCTAATTTGAATAATCCAATTTGAATTTTCAGGCGCGTTTCATTGGGCGTTGGTTAGAATAAAAACCAACGGCCAGACTCTGGGCTAAAACAATCCAGCACAACAAACCCTTTGATTTTTTTTAAAAATTTCACAGTTCAAGCTGAAATAAAAGGTTTCTATTGTCATTGTGCAGTGCACTTGTTGATTGGTCAGTTGGATTCAACTACCAATAAAACTTATAAATATTCTTCAGTAATGTTCAAGATGCATAGTTGTTAATTTGCCAATGACTGATGGAAACCTGCAAAGATGGTAATTAATATGCACAAATATTTACCCAAAAACTAATCAGGGATCTGCACAGTCCTTAACTATGTACCAAGTGTCATTGAAATATGATGATTACTACTTGAAATATCATAAGCTGAAAATTAATTAATTAAGCAAATTAGGCAATTAATATGTACTAATATTACCTTAAAAACTATCAGGTCTGTGTAGTGCCCTATGACATCTATGTACCAAGTTTCATTGAAATGTGATGTAGTACTTGAGATATCAGTGGAAAAACAAAATATTTACAAATCATTATGCAAATTAGGTAATTGATATGCACGGATTTTTACCAAAAAACTAATCAAATCTGCGCACAAGTTCAGAGCATCTATGTACAAAGTTTCATCAAAATCCAATGAGTGGTTCTTTAGATATCAGTGGAAGAGTCATGAAACAGCTAAAAATGAGCTAATTATCATGCAAATTAGGTAATTAATATGCATGGATTTCTACCAAAACCTAATCAAATCTGCACATTGGCCCAGAGCATCTATGCACCAAGTTTTATCAAAAATCGATGTATGGTTCTTGAGATAGTAGTGGAACAGACACGCTTATAGACACATTAACTGCAAAGACTCCCATTGTGTGCTTCGCACATGAGAGTCAAACATTTAAAATCAGACAAATTACCTTATACTTTAGTTCTAGGTAGCTAATTATCAGTTTATTTTTTTCAAAATTTAATACAATTAGGACACAAATTTTCATTATATTTACCCAGCATGAATTTTTCGAACGAAAAAAACTGTAAAAATGAATAATTTCCATAGACGCTATGTTAAATCATGATTACCCATCTTACCACAGGGAGCCCAGGAACTATAATCAACTGTAATACGCAGTCTCTATGAGGGGGGGGGGTATCGGCTGGTATCTAGTGTAAGAAATAGACAAGGGATGAAGGCTCCAGCCAGCCCACATTTTTTAAACTCGAAAAAACAGACGAAAAAAATAAAAAATAAAATCTAAAAAAAATACCAGGTTGAAGAATATTTAGTTGCTCCTTCAAATTTCGCCAAAGCATTACCTACATTTTACCGATATCTGCAGAATAAATCAAGAAAACTACACAAATTTACTCCATTTAGGAATTCCTAACGGTTAGTCCGAACGCACGGCACAGTTGGAGGCATGGATTTCTACCAAAACCTAATCAAATCTGCACATTGGCCCAGAGCATCTATGCACCAAGTTTTATCAAAAATCGATGTATGGTTCTTGAGATAGTAGTGGAACAGACACGCTTATAGACACATTAACTGCAAAGACTCCCATTGAGTCAAACATTTAAAATCAGACAAATTACCTTATACTTTAGTTCTAGGTAGCTAATTATCAGTTTATTTTTTTCAAAATTTAATACAATTAGGACACAAATTTTCATTATATTTACCCAGCATGAATTTTTCGAAGGAAAAAAACTGTAAAAATGAATAATTTCCATACTGTGCCGTGCGTTCGGGCAAACCGTTAACAAAAACTAACCAAATGGAATTTTGAATACAATCTTTTTACATTAGAAATTAATGGTAAATTGCTCAAAAACACTTTCCATGGATGTTCAACCCACAATTCACTGATAACACAAACCACCCCTATCTCTAGTTTTGTAAACCGCTTAAAATCATATTGAAATAGTAGCAAACTACTTTATTGATCAGTTGACAGCCTGGACATGGAGGAAAGGAAGAAACTGTCACAGCAGGATTCAAACTCTGAGAACAAGTGCTGAATATGCATGCTCTCTTGATCTATCTGCTCCTTTATCAGGAACAGTTGATACAATGGCGGAAGAGAACAGAACACTACTGGTAGCGACTCTCGCACTCTTTACCAAGATCCATTATCCATTCATACAATCAATGACTTCAGTTTGTATATTAACATATATATATATATTTATTTTACTTGTTTACAAATAAAATAGTAATTGTTATGCATTTCTATAGACAGATTAATATTGTTGTACTTTCATTCTGAATTTTTAAAAAAATTTAAATTTCTTCCAGAAACTACATTATTAAAGTTGACTGCAGTTGGATACATCTGATCCAAAGTAAATATGTCAATAAAAAAATGTACATGTTGTTTAAGAGGGGGTGCTATCCCAGGCACAAAAAAAATACATGATATTTTGATCTTGAATCTGCATGCAATCCCATAAAAAGCACAGGACAAACAAAAATTAATAAATATTAACATTTCACCAAAAAAACGACCACAGGTCAAAGCACAGTTCCTTTAGAGCTCGAACTGCAGAATATACATATGGATTGACCATAAGAAATTTATGGGGTAGTCTGCGATTGAAAAAA